CTCTTCTTCTTCTTGGTTGCTCTGTTTCCATCGAGGTTCAGGACTTTATGTTGCAGTAAAACAGAGAGAACCTGTTCGTATGAAAATCAATAACTTTCTACAACAAATGCGATCACACGTCTGCTATAATCTTCTGGCGTCTCGAGGTTCAATACTGAGCTCATCACACGAAGCTCAAAAGAATCGAGTCACCTGCTGATTGGATTTTCAGTCCTGCACCAGTCGAAGTCGAACTCTGCAAAGTACGTATTAACCCTTTCTGATCCTAGCGCGGAATAAAAAAAAAGCCTCTGGTTTTGTACGGTGCGCGTACGGTATTCCAGAGCCTGGCCGGCGCTGCAGCGAGCTCCCCGAAGCCTGCGAATGTGGGCCTGAGCTGCCAATCATCCGAAGCCCACACATAACAGCCTGTCGCCCACATCGCTCGTACACAAGCACTCGGCTGAGCCAAGTCGGGGGACTTTCAGCTCCGCCATGGGGGCGACTGAGTGAGAACGCTGTGAATCAGTCCGGCTCGGCGAAGGGTGGAAGAGGTGGCGAAGGCACACGTCAATCACCGGGACATGATTGTTGCTCGGGTTCTTTTTTTTTTTTATGTGTCTTCCCGAAACCAACTCACCCCTCGTCCTTCATCACAACGGAGCTTAAGAGCTGCTAAATCCAGTGAATTAAAAAATATGCAACTTTGACTTTGAAACAACGAGTCGTCGGTGACATGCACGAGACGTTTTTGAAAACTCTGCTGGCAGCTTTGAAAAGCATGTTGTTGTTTCTTTGAAAAAGTCACTGAACTGACATAATTTATCATCCAGAAACCGTAAAAACAAAGCCATCCTTCAACTAATAAATGTAATATTTAATTAGTTTCACTTTATTCCACATCTTATTTGACAGTTTGCCAAACGTAAACCACCAAACAGATCCTGTAAAAAACACAAACTTCTGTCTCAGCTGTGACTAACAGCCACGTGACTAAAACGTGTGGACGTCTCAGCTGAACTGCCGGCTGTGTGCAGCTCGTTTGACTTCAGAACTCGTCAGAACCATTTCTGAAGTCACTGAAATAACATCATTTATCATCCAGAAACATTCAACTTTCCAACGGTCCTTCATCTGCTCTTCTGTCACATACCATTTTGGCGCAAAACTTAACCAAACCGAGGCTTAAAATCATGATATTTCATTAAAAATCACTTTATTCCACATCTTATTTAACAATTTGCCAAACCATTTGCACCAAACAGATTCTGTAACAAACATAAAATCCTGTGCGACTCAGCACAAACACAGCTGTGAATAACAGTCATGTGACAAAAGTATTAGTTAATGTGATCATTGCTGGAGGTGGATGCAGGACAATTAAAAAAAAATAAGCAACCATTCTTAAATTTGGATCAATGGATCCTCGATGACATACATAAAATATTTAACCCTCTGAACCACAAAACCTTGCCGACAGGTTTGTAAAACATGTTGTTTGTAAAGAAAAGTCTCTGAACTGACACCATTTATCCTCCAGAACCTGTGAAAAACTGAGAGAATTGTTGTTTTTTCTAAAACTTTCTGATGGTCTTTGAGCTACTCGTCTGTAACGCCGTTCAGTCGGGACAGAAAGCCTTTAGTGTCATTTTATTAAGGATGCAACGAGATTATAGACTAAATATACTCGTGCTAAAAAACATGAAGCCCACCATATAAATATAAAAGGTGCAGTGAAGCGTCAGAGTCAACATTCGCAGCTGCAGCACACGTCTCAGTAGATATTTACACGTAAAGTCAAACATAAAATAAACATGATGTAATATCAGTAACAGTCAGAAGTGTGGACGACAACTGTGCCCTAAACAATGGATTTATGAGGAAGCAAATTCCAGCTTAAAACTGGGATATTTCATCTTTCACTTGAAAATAATCAGTTTGCTTGAACCCGATTCTGCAACAAACAAAAAATTCTGGCGCTCCTCATCCAAAAAGTGAAATCATTAGTGCCTCAGCTACAACCGACAGTCACGCAAGAAAAATTCTTGAGGTTTTGGCTGAACTGCAGACAGTGTTCACACAAAGTATAAAGGAGACAAGTATAGAAAGAAATACCCGAAAATTATATAGTGTAACACCTGTGGAAAGGTACGTATCATAACCGTCCAGTCGCTGCTTTGCTTTCAGAAAGTCACGCTAACCGACGTAAACATCGAATTCCCAAAATGTTCGGCATCCGTTAAAAACATGATTGACGAAGGGATTTATATAATAAATATCCCAAAAACATGATATATGTCAGTCTTTTTTTGTGCGGAACTCTTTTGCAGGTCGAAAAAAATCCCAAAAAATCTGTGCATTCTCATCGCATTGTGTTGTGAACTGAATTTTAATGAAAACTCTTCTATCTGATGAGGAAAACAGCAGCAGGCTGGAACAACATGATGCACAAAACAGAAGCTTTAAAGCGACTGTTAGATGTTGCTGCCTTTGACTTTTCTCTCCTTTATTCAAAGAAAAAGAAAACAAAACAGCGAAATCAAGGAAAGTTAGAAATAAGATGAAGGTCGATGCAAACTTCTGCGTTCTACGAGACAAAACAGGCCGTTAATGGGAGCTACAGTGGGATTATCCTTCAGTGCTTCTTGCCCACTTGCAGCTGCACTAATAAAGTAGTAATGGTGGACATGTGAGCCAACAGGTGCCTCATTACGGCCGCCACAGAGCAGCATCACACTTTGTTTTTCCCTTTAGGTTTCTTTCTCAGCCTCCTGATGCCAAAACCTTGGTCTCTTTAGCGGCTAAACGCTGCTCGGCGTTGAACAGGTGACATGAAAAAAAAGCTCTTTTAGCTGAAGGGAACTGCAGACGTGGGCGAGAACTCTTTGAGTTTGTCGCTGTGAGCGACACCTTTCACGATGCACACAAAAGTTTTGATCCTTTCTTTATATATATAAAAAAGAAAAAGACTCCACACACACTCACAGGCTGCACTTTTTGTATTTTGGGGTCTGTTTTTCTGAATTTGTGACACATCTGTGGAGCTGTGAACTGTGTTTATCATGCACACGACTCTTTAATAGCCAGATTTAAAAAATGAGATAAACTTATTGAACCCTCATTCGGGAAATTTACATTCCGATTCATGAATTTTATGGAATTCCCACTAAAAAGGTTCTCGTCTATATTCATCATCGGCGCAGGTCTGCACAGTTTTAGGCCCCCAAACAGTTTAACCCTCCTGCTGGGGTCTCTAAATAAGCTGCTGACGTTGTTTTTTCAGTTTTATTTTATATAAAGGACTATTTACACATAAACTTGGGTAACAATTTTAATTCTGATCATTTTCTGGAGGTCTACGCCAAGGATAAAAGATGTGAGTAAATGTGAAGGTAACAGGAGGGTTAATTTAATTTACCTCAAGAGCATTTTCTTCAAAGGCAACGCTTCGATCTCACGGATTTTCCTCACGCAAGTATCAAAGAGGAATTTCTTAAAGAGGCAGTAATCAAATCATTATCACCTGCTGGTCAGCGGGCAGCATGGAAATAAAAAAAAAAAGCCTCTTTTTCTCTTTGATACACTCCCGAGGAAGATCTTTCAAGTGGAAGCGCTGCCTTTGAAGAGAATTAAATTAATGATTTGGAGCCTGAAAGTGTGCAGATGTTTTCCCAACCTGAAGTTACAGGGTGTTTTTTTCTCTCCTTCTTGCACCTTTAAAAAACAATAACTGGTTGGACGACAACTTTTGATGTCGACTCAGGTCGTGTGTAGAAGTCGCACCTACACAACACAACAAAGCAAACCGCCCAAGTGTCGGATGATCCTCGTTTCTTCTTAAACTCGATAAAAACACTGATGTCAATGCAGCACGAGCAACAACACGAGAGCAAACATCCCCACCTAGTGGCCAACACGAGAAATAAAAGGACTTCTTGGGCAAAGAGCTGCATCAACTGTTTCTCTTTGTACACGAGTAGCAGACATGAAAACAAGTCTTTAATTTATATTTTCACTTCCAACATGACTGAGAAAATCTGACAAAACACCCTTAAGCCTTTCACTTAAGGCGCCCTGAGCTTGATCTATGTTTTATGTGTAAAATATTCAGGAAAAGTCTTTTTTAAAAAAGTAAAAAGTGGGAAAATCATTCACAGAATTCAGACTAAATCAGCGTCTGATGCCAGCTGCACAAAACACCCTTAAGTCTTCCCCTTAAGGTTCCCTTAAAATCTGCATCCAAGCTTCCATACCAATAAAATACGCCAGAAAAAGGTTTTTATCTCCCAATATGTCAAATATAATCTGGAAAAAGTCCCAGGATGTCCTACTACGTCCACTTTCTTTGGCCATTCTGACCCACAATCCTCTGCACCGTAAGCATAAAATAGTCTGAATGCAATATTACGACCAAGTAGTGCGTCCCAGTTGTTTGCAAACTGAGACGAGAACAGCTGCTGAGTAAAAACAGTACGCGATCTGGAATGCAGCCTTAATTTTGCACTTAAGAAATCCCTTAAAGTTTGGCTTAGCGACCACAGGAAGCTTCCTTTGACTCTAAATCTTATTTTAACTGCAACGGGGTTCAGTTTATGGCTGTAATTGCAGATATTTTGAACTCGTTCTAGTCGAAGTTTCTTCTCGTATTCGTTGTTTCTGCCTCTATTTGGTTTGTGCTCCTCCAGAGATGCTAACTTTGGGTTTTTTTCCACCATTTTTACCGTCTATGAATCAACTTTTTGAGGCGATAACAGGATCCACAAACGTGAACACAAGCGAACAAATAGTCTTCAGTGAGGGTAGAATTCTACAGTCTATTTTTATGCAATGAATGGTTTTAGGAGGGAAACATTTCGTGCAACTACGCTTAAGAAAGTCTGAAGTCTGACGCCCAAGTGTGTTTCTTTTCTAACATTCAGACCCTTATGTGCTACTAAACGGGCCAGCTCAGTGGAGAACTTTGGGTGTTCTGTGCAACCGGTGACTGCTTCTTATGCAGATTTCCTTCCCTCCACCTTTACCTGTTTGGGGTCTGTTGGACCGGCGGGAGACGTCAGCTCGATGGTGACAGGTCCGTCGTTCTGAATGTGGACCTGCATGTAGGCGCCGAACTTCCCGTCTGGAAAAAAAACAACGACACAAAGCAGCAGTTAGAAGAGGCTCGATCGGTCGTTTCATCACCAGAGGGACTCGACGTTTCATCATCCCGCCGTTGAGACATTGGGGACGGGAGATGAAGGGGCTGCGCGAGGACAGTAAGTTTCAGCCTAAATGTTCTCCTTTCCTGCAGCGGGTCCCCGAGATTAATGACACCATCTGCACAATGAAGCCGTGGGCCGCGACGGAGAAGCGCTGCATCATCGTATTTCCTCTCTGGAGGGGGGGACTAATTAGGAAGCCTTACGCCTCCCTTTGCTGGGACAAGGTGTTCTCCGCACCTGCTCCCCGGTGGGCCGACCCAGTTCGCTGCCACCGTCACCGCCGCAGCGTCACAGCGCCGATAATCCGCCGCCTGCACCGAGGTGGCAATTTAAACGGCAAAGGGGGGCATGAGTGGGCGGCCGTAACGGCGACCCTCGACACTTTTGTTTTTAATTAGCTGCGAATGAAGTAGCCGCGAGCGTTTAGCCTTGTTGTCCCGCAGCCTCCCGAGACCACGATGAAGCCGTTTCTGACCTCCACACTTTGCACCGCGACCTTTCAAACTGGGGCAATATTTCACTAAATGAGCTTCAGATCAATAAAGAAAAAGGGAGAAATTTATCAACAGATTCAGACTAAATCAGACAATATGCACAAAATACCCTTAAATCTTGTTTAAGGGTCCCTTAAGATGTTTAAGTATTTAAGGTTTTCTTTCTTATCTTTGTTTTGCACTTAAGGAATCTCTTAAAGTTAGTTGTATAAAAGCCCTTAGCAACCAAAGTAAGAAGAAAAAATAAACCACACACACATCTAAAACTCTCTTTTTGACCTCCAGACTTTCCACCATCAACCTTCAAACTGGGACAATTTTTCACTAAATGAGCTTCAGATCAAAGGCTGATAATAAAGAAAAGGGAGAAATTTATCAACAGATTTTAGAAATACCCCTTAAGTCATTTGTTTAAGGGTCCCTTAAAATGTTTACCTAAGCATTTAAGGTTTTCTTTCTTATCTTTGTCTTGCGCTTAAGGACTCTCTTAAAGTTAGTTGCACAAAAGCCCTTAGCAACCAAAGTAAGGGGAAAAAAAGTCCTGCAACCTCCTGAGACTCTGTTCAAACTGGCTTCACAAGATTAGCTCGTCAACATCTGATGTCAGGCTCACATTAAGAAAATGTTGAGGAAAAACATCAAAAAGGAAGATTTCAGACTAAATTAGAAAATATGAACAAAACAACCTTAAGTCTTTTGTTTCAGGGTCCCTTAAAATGTTTACCCAAGTACTTAAGGTTTTCTTTCTTATCTTTGTTTTGCACTTAAGGAATCTCTTAAAGTAAGTTGTATAAAAGCCCTTAGCAACCAAAGTAAGAAGAAAAAATAAACCACACAGCTAAAACTAACCCTACAAAATGCCCTGAAGACTTTTGTTTACAGTTTCCTTAAGATGTATTTAAGGTTTTCTTTTTTCTTTTGGTCTTGCACTTAAAATCGCTTAAAGTTAGCTGTATAAAAGCCCTTAGCATCCAAAGTAAAGGGGAAAAAAAAGTCCTGCAACCTCCTGAGACTCTGTTCAAACTGGCTTCACAAGATTAGCTCATCAACATCTGATTTCAGGCTCGCATTAAGAAAATGTTGAAGAACAACACCGAAAAGGAAGAAATTCATCAGCAGATTTCAGACTAAATTGTGCAAACACCCATTTTTTTAATTTTATGTTCCTTTCTTTCTTTTATTTCTTTCTTGCATTTTACCTACTTTGTTAAGCGTCTTGAAGTTTCTTAAAAAAGCACTACATCATAATAACAAGAACAATCATCTATGAAAAGACATGTGTTCATAGATGTCCTAAAATGTGCAAAAAACCTAAAGTTTTTCCCTTAAAGTTCTCTTAAAATATTCACTTAAATATTTAAGGGGTCTCTCACTATTTTGGTCAAACCCTTAAGAAATCCCTTAAAATTAGCTGCACCAAACACCTTAGCGACTGAGCTAAGGAGAACAAATGACGATGTTTTAACTGCAACACGGTCGAGTTTATGGCCATAAATGAAGAAAATGAACAGCTACAGACTACTGGTCTTAATTTTTGCTGAAATTTGATCCCACATTTGTTAATTCTGCTGCTATTGTTTGCCATCGTTCACTCTCTTGACTTCTTCTTTTCCCGTAGGACTCACCATGACCCTTCACACCGACTATTTTGCAAGTCTGACTTTGAAAATCTTTTATAATTTCAGCTCCTCAACGACTGATCTGAAGATGGCATCAGAGCGTATTTAGGCATATTTTAGGAAAAGCACCAAGATAGGAAAAAAATAATCAGCGGAACTCAGACTAAATCAGAAAACGACGCAAAAAGGAAAATACCGCACTGTGGTCTCAACCCACCCTTGATGAGCTCCGGCTTGTAGCTGCTCCTCATGCTCTCCAGGATGCTGTTGTAGAAGGGCTGGGCCAGCTCTGCCGGCATGGCCGCGTGGAAGTCCGGCTTGTTGCCCTTCAGGATGCACTGCAGGGTGAACTGGCTCACGCACAGGACCTCCAGGTCCCGGTCCATGACGCTCTTGGTCCACGCTCGGCCGTTCTCGTCCTCGAACAGCCGCAGGTTCAGGATCTTACGCACGCTGAAAAGTCACAACACAAAAAAATATCCCTCTGGACTGAGTTGGATAATAAACAACAACATAACAAGCAAATAATCTGCTGGAGGAGGGCTGGTTAAACAAATATACCTCAGGAAATACTGCCAGTGAGTAAAATATATATGAAATTAAAAAAGAAAAACAAGCACAAAGATGTAATAAAACCTTCAATCAGCCTTCTACAGGTTTATATTTTAGTTAAATCCACCAGGCTGTTAATGGAACAACTAAAACATCTACAGGGTTATTTGTTACGTAGATTAGCCTAATTAATGTAAAAATACAGCTAGACACTAAGATATTTTGTTTACGGTACTTTGAGAAGCTTAAATTATGAAATATTTGTCATTTTGGCATAAAACACATGTGACTTTTTAAAGTAGATCCAGACACGTTGACTAAATAATTAAAGATTTTAGCTCTAATTTATTATTTTTTTCTCGCATAGATTCACAATTTGTTCACTCTTTATAGCATTTTATGTCATATTTTTAATTTCTCAGGTGTAATATTTCACTTCCATGTGCAGCAACGTGAATCTAATGTGAAATATTTCATTTTTATTGGATTTTTCAGGCGCAACATTTCATTTTTGCGTCAGTGTAATTGCCAGTGTTTCTCTCTACTGTTCTATTCTAGCCTTATTGAAGCTTATTAAGTTTAATTCAGTGATAAATCATACTTATATCTTATTGTTTATTACCTTTTTAGGTTATGTCATTTGTTTTTTTTCTGAGCAATATCTAGCTTTTTTTTTTTTGAAATCTTGATTTCTGAACTGACCAGAACCTACAGCTGTCAGATTAACTGTAGGGGAGTCAAAGTTATTTCCCTGAAACCCAGCGTGTCGTATCAAGATAACACTAAATGCACATTGGTGTAAATGTACTGAGTTTCATCGAAGTCAGGCTGCGGTCTGAACACTCACATGTAGTCGGCATCCTTCTGGGTGTCTTCCACCGAGATGCCGAGCAGCACACAGAGTCCACGTCCGATTGAGCCGACCTGCTCCTCTCCCACTGCAGCAAAACACACAAAGACGCATGAGTCACACTTGAGACTCTTTCAAGGACTAATGACGGCGATTAAGTTACTCGTGTTCGTCTTCGAAGCCTCGAGGTGCGTTTGGGTTCATTATCCTGCTGCAGAGACAATCCTCCTCCACAAATATGCGACATACTGTGTGCAGACGCTCGTAGTAAACAGGACTTTTATTCCCATCATCAACTGTGAAGCTTTATTTTAGGCCATTTTTCTCCTGCAACAAACCCCCCCCCCCTAACATGATGCTGCCATCCCCATACTTCACAGTTGGGATGTTGTACCGATGGTCATTAAGGCCAAACAGTTCAGTTTTAGTTTCATCAGACCACAGGACATGTCTCCAGAGATTAAAGTCTTTGTCCCTGTGTGCATCTACAAACTGCGATCTGTCTTTTTTATGTTTCTTTTGGTGTAATGTCTTCTTCCTCTCTGAGCAGCCTTTCAGCTCATGTCGGTACAGGACTGGTTCCACTGTGGATAATGACTCTCTGACCAGCTTCAGCAGCATCTTCACAAGGTTTTTTGCTTTAGTTCTGGGGTTAATACGCACATTTCAACCAAAACACTTCATATCTGGGATACAGAACCCGTCTCCTTCCTGAGCGCTATGATGGCTGGACATTCCCTTAATGTTTATACTTGCATATAATAGCTTGAACAGATGAATGTGGAACCTTCTGGCAAATGGAAATTGTACCCAAGGATGAACCAGACTTGTGGAGGTCCACAGTTCTCTTCCTGATATGTGTGTGTTTGAGGTGTGCTGTAAAACACATCCACAGGTGTGCCTCCAATTAACCCAGATGTTGTCAATTAACCAATCAGAAGCTTCCAAAGCTATGACATAATCATCTGGGCTTTCCCAAGTAGTTCTGGTCGACTTCTGGTTCAGAGTTTAAGGAAATAACTAAATATATATAAATAAGTTCAGGCCTTTAAGTAAGTTTATTGTAATTGAAATCTGCAGACGTAAAGAGGCCTCAACATTTTGCATGTTTTTTCCATCAGTCAGCTACGAGGGCAAGTTATGCCAAACACTCAACATTGACCAGTACATGAAAAAAATAAAATAAAATGTAAATTTAAAAACTAAACATGTTTTTGACTGTACTGTGCCAACTAAAGAATACAGAGTTGACTGGAAGAAACGCTGCTATATGAACTTACATTTAATTAAAGTGTGTTTGATTAAATTTTAAAACAGTTTGTTGTTGTTGTTGTTGTATTTGTTGTTATTGTTGTTGTTGTTGTCTCCAGTGAGAAGCAGACCGACAGGTGACCGGCCACATGTCACTCTGATCCGGGGACAGCAGCTTGTGGTCGGTCCGGTCACCCAGCCGTCCCTCCTGCGGACTGTCTCAGCATTACTGCGGGGAAATAACCTCCGTCGGTCCCCCTTGGAGCTTCTGTATCCGGCCAACAGCGCTGTAAACCGGCTGAGCTCAGCTCAGAGAGCCCCCTGCAGCCGCCTCATTCATTTAAATGCTAATGCTAACCCAGCTAGCTCCATTAGCACGCACGGTTAGCGGCCGTTAGCTTCGGGTTAGCTGCACCTTTAAACCGTGGCCAACCTGTCCCGGGTCTAGTCTTACCTGTCACGCTGGCCTTGGTGACCCTCTGAACGATGGCTCTCATTGTTGTGGTTGTTTCGGGGAGCACGCCGTCGCTACTTCCGGACACCTGCAGCGTGGACGAGCCGGCGTCGCCCTCTTGTGGCCGGAGCCGGGAACGCGCACGCTCAGCTTCTACTGGAGCTTTGCAGGGACAATAAAAGGCGCTTTTTAAAATCCCCTTTAAACTACATTATGAAGGGATTATTTACAATATAGACTGGGTGTCTACATTCACATGTTTATACAAAACAACAACAACACTACAAGACTCACTTTATATTTTAAATCCTATTTTGTAGCCACTTTAGATTTTAAAACTGTGAATCCTTAGATCCAGTTGTAAATACTGCATCACATTCTGGCTGTACCTGTGCAGCCTATTTGGTTTTGTGTGTTCTTTGTCTCTTTTGCACTGCTACCTTATTTTGTGAATATAAGTCAGACCAGGTACACAACACATTTTATTACATACTGAACCACGTACAACAGTGTATGTAACACAAACATTTGATTTGATATACTGATTATTAGTAACTCAGGGAGACTGACAATTTGTGTATTTTTATATAAATATATTATTTTCACGGCTAATCACACGCTCAACTTCATTAAATTAGAATACGGTGATCGAGATTAAGTTCCAGTTTATTTTTATATTATCACTTTTTATCACTCCGTAAATCATAGCCAGAAAGGCCAGAAATAAAAACACATTTCTTTTTGTTTTCAGCAGTAAGACATTCTATAAATTAGACTATTAGGAATATATGAACAAACTCCTCTGGAAAATCCTTCAGAAAAACAGTCAGGAATAAAACTGAAAGGCTGGGTGTATGTTAAAGCTACTTAGCCCAAAAGCTTCATTCTGCAATCTGCAGCTGTTTAAAAAGATAATTTAGTGAGCGCTTGACAATCATGTGAGGCTGTTTTGGTGACGCCTCTTATGACCAACACGGATCCAAATCTGTGCAGTAAAAGAGGCCTGTTGACACGACTGGAAAAATAAGATTTATTTAAACATTTTTCAACTTGATTAGACTTTGAACATCACCGTGTCTTCTTAATGGTTTAATATAGATCATCTGCAATCCACTCGCTTTCAAACACAACAGCAGCTCCGTCAGACCACGACACGTGGACACGTGTCTGGACTTTCATTCATAAATCATCATCACACAAATACATCCGGATTTACTCGACAGCGTCCTTTGCAGCTACTTGTTTCCGGTGAAGGAGTTGAAGAAGTTGAAGAGCCTCGTGGTGTAAGGGACAAAGTCTTTTTTGTAGACGATGACTGTTTTGGTGTGAGCCGTCTCGTACACAACCCTGTATGGATTGTCTTCCTCCTCCTCGGCTTTTTTCACTAAGATGGATGAAAAAAAAAAAAAAAGTATTTCGTTATTGCAACTGATATCATGTCTGAGTAAACTGAGTCCAAGGAACGTAAATCAGCTGCAGAGGTTATCACAGAATAAATGAACAGGATTGATTGATACTGACATGAAGCTGGTTGTATGTGTTTACTGCAGTGGAACAGTTTTATAGGAATATTATGTGTTTACTACAAACAGCTACAGGAACAGGCTGCAAATACAGTTGCACTGTGACTATAAAGCTTTACACTGGGCTAAAAGTCAAATACAAGAATGAGCTGTGAGGTTTGCTGAAGCATTATAACACAAAAATAATTATTATTATTATTACTGTCACGTTGACTTGAGTAAAAGAAAGCAGACTGTAAAGTGAAAATACTTAAAATCAAGTAAAAGATGTTCTACTAAAAGTCTTATTTAAAAACAAGGCTAAAAGTGTAATATATTTAAAATAATAATTTAGAAGAATGTATTATCATATATTAAATGATTGGATTGTTCTAGTGATAAAATTAAATGAAATAATTAGTGATCATCATTATTGTTGTTGTACGGAACATGGAAATGCAAAATTAGGAAGAAATATAACATAAAAGCTCATTGCATGTCATTTCTGACCACCTAACACAACATTAAAAGGGTTTTGTGCTTTAACAGCATCCATCTATAGGAACAGATTGAAGCTTTTACAAGACACTGAAAGCATCATCTGGTACTTATATTAAAAACAAAAAACAAAAACGTCTCGTTATTAGAATCAGGAATTGAAATGTGCGTTAAGAACTTTTAATTGTGACTGTTAGCAGCTAACAGCTAAATCGACGTAAACAATGTAAACAAATGTAGCTGAAACGGAGGCACGGTTCAGAACGTCACTGAGAATCCTCCTATTTTTAGGTTTTCTTCAATATCGAAGAAATTCAGTGCTAGCTACCAGAACATGCAATTATACAGGACGTAAAGAAAAGGTAAAGAGTTAATTCGGCGTGCTTAATTTTCCAATTGTAAACAAATATAGGCTATAAAACGAGGCTCAAGGTGTAGCTCACTGTACGCATGTACTGGGCCAGGAAGTGAGCCGTCAGAACTGGCCTGACAATCCCACTGTTTGTAGGGTTTCTTCAGCATTAAAATAAATACATGAAAATATGTGATAGCTGACAATACAATACATTTATTGACTAAAATGTGAACAAATGAGTGTTTTCCAGTCCATGTCCCTCACCCCTTATGTCCTCGAAACGACCCATGTATCTCAAATATAACAAAGATCCGATCGTGGTCCAGACGCCAAAAGCGTAAACTGCAGAAAAAAATACTTTCAGTTTTTCCGCGTCTTTAGTCTTCATTGCTGCTCTGTTAAACGGCCTCTTTAAAAAAAAAATATTCTAAAAGAATTTACTGCATTACTGCAGCAATGAAACCTCCATGACAGTCAACCCGGAAGTAGTAGAACAACATCCGGGGCGTGGCCGGGACTTTATTTTAATTTTTTACATTTTATTTTGTTTTATTTCTGCTTTTTTAGGTTTAAATAATGTATGCAAAAGAAAGAACACCCTTATAAACAACTAGGTCACATTTTCTTTTCAATTTTGATCAAAAAACATAAAATATACATCTATATATCTATATATCTACACAGGTATGCTAATATAAAAATAAATACACATACACATGTTAATATTACACATATTCTCTATATGTAAACTGTGCTTATTTTATAAGTAAAACATGCAATCATATGAATGTGTGAAAAAAGACAAAGGCACACTTTCAGGTGGAAGTCTATTCGTGACGTCCTAATAAAACCGGTTCATATCTTTTTGCTGTGTACAGTCACCTGATATGACATAAATGTGGTGGACAAAATAATAGAAACAGCAGTCAGTATAATTTTGTACAGCTGCAAAAACAAACAGAAAAACAAATGGTGAAAAAAGTTCCTCCGGTATATAATGAACTAGCCATCAACTGTTTTGAGTGGGACGTATTTAAAATAGGGAGGAAAATTACAGCATGATTCTGTGCCAGGTTGCTGAGCACACCTGTCAGGACGAAATGTTTCAGTGTGCAGATATTTTTACTTTCTTCCTCACATCTCTGGCACAAAGTGCACAACATCAAAACCCCAAATCATGTCAAAACTTTGGTATTCTGTCAAAGAGCTTCCAAAGAGTACAAATTGTGTTTACAGTCTGTTTTAACTTAAGGAATTTAAATGTTTTTTTTCCCCTGAAAAATGAACTCTGGAACATTTAAAGATGTCTTGGTTTGAAATTGTTATAATCATGATTTAATTACATTTGACAGATTGCATATTGTTGTTATGTCTTGTTTTTCTGTCCTGTTCTAGTTTTTTGCACACTTTCTACACAGTTCAGCACTTAGGAGATGAGATGATTGAAAAATGCCAAATGTGTGACGACATCGTCTGAAAGGGCAAATTCATGTTGGTTCTTGAGTCACATGTGAACATGCGTGACTACATTAATGAGGAAATTCCACGTACTGAACATGACCTGACTTCAAACTGAACTGCTGATTCTTGCATTTAAAAGATTTATATTTTCCAACAGATATCGTTGTTGGACGCATTAACTCTGCACACAGAAACTATATGTTTAAAGACAGAGCTGCAGATATACACTCACCAGACACTTTATTAGGTACATCTGGGAAATGTAAATCTAATCAATTTAGAGGTGTTCCTGATTTTTTCCCACTCAGTTAACATACATATGGGGGGCAAAATATTAGGAACATGTATTTATATATTTTACTTTTCTTTAAAAATTGAAATAATTTAATTTAATTTAATTTAATTTAAATAATAAAAATTTCAAATAATTAAAATTAAACATTATTAGTTGTAACTATTTAGGTTAGTTTCCATGAATAAAAACACCAAGAGGTCTAAGCTATAATGATTAATTAGTCAGCTTAATCTCCCTCATTAATAACAACGTGCAGTCCCAGCTTTGTTATGTTTTACAGTCAGGTAAAGCTGTATTTTATACCGTTTATGTAGATTTTTTTTACCTAATATTTAAATAACTCAGGTAAATTTAAATTAGAAATTATATTGTGTTAGCCTTGATATTTATTATACTCAGGTTAAGTTGTATTTTACATCACTTTTGCAGGGTTTAAATCCTTAATATTTAAATAACACATAATATTCTTTCAGAGCATCTCACTTATTTTTCTACTAGAAAGCACTTTGGCTTTAAATGTGCAGGATAAACACTATTCATTAGATGTTTGTTATTGTGATGTAGTCCAGTACATCACCACCATGACCTCAGTAACAGAACTAAAGTCAAATGATCTTTTTGGCAACAACAACTAAAAATGTACAAGTGTCATGAATAAAGAATTTATGGTACAGATGTTATATTGGATTACATTAAAGTTTACAGGTGTACCTAATAAAGTGTATGTGTCTCTATATGTTTAGGAGATCTGCTGGTCGGTGCGTCATCATCAGATGTGAGTCTCAGTGCAACGATTCGTCTGATTTATTATCCTGCTGGAATAAAAGGCCAAAGCTGTCACCTTGAAAAGCCTCGTGGCTCTGAAGTGCTGCAGCCACATGTTCACGTCGGTATATCGATATAATACACTTTAAATGGCTTCACAACACTCCAATCAGCAAAACTAGAGCAAGTCAAACAAAGAAATAATAAAAGAAGAAGGATAAGGACACCATGAAGCACAACGACAGGCAGAAGATGGTTTGGAGATCTAAAAAACAAAGTTTACTATAAATATGGGTTTTTGGGAGCTGCTCAAAACAGACCAAATAAATCAGGAAATAAATGTTGCATAATTAACATAATTAGTATGATTTATAATCACAGACATGGACAACATATAGATGTTTTTATTTTTATTAAAAAGCTTCCCTTTTGCTGTTCTGGTCCACCGCCTACATTAATTCTTCTGTTATTGTAGTTTTTCTGAGTAATATCTGGCAAAAGAATTTCCTTC